GTCCCATGCTAAGTAGAGCTTGTGTTATGGGTACTAGACAAATGATATATTTTTCTAGTACCCATAACTATAACAAGACAAACAATCATACTCAGAATACAAATATTCATACCGTGCAAGGTATCGATCCTGCTACCATCAGAAGTAAGGCGGTATCCAAACATATATTCAAGTTAAAATCAATGCAGTTCCCTCATACTGAAATTTATAATATTTTTACCATTTCATTTAAAAAAATAACACTATACTTATATATTATTGTATTTATTTTACAATATGTGTATTATTTCAATAATTGTATGAATTATAATTTATTAAATCATCGTAAAATTTTAAAAAGTTAACGTGTAAAGTATAGGTTATTGTAATAATTTTAACTAGTTATTAACATTATTCTAATACGTGTATATTCTTACAAGATCATTGTGGATTATTAGTTTTAAAATCTAAATTAATATACTAATTTATAAAAGATATTATAGGTAGGCACTTACTTTTAAAATAAAACAAACCGAAGTGATAATATTGTTCATAATTATGTAGAGTAGGTGAAAAACTTAGTAATAGTATATGTAAAATGTGCTAATGAAGGTACTCAAGTAATTATAGACTTCGTATAATCTAGAATACTTTTCTCTATTATAATAGAAGACTATAGCAGTTTTTATTACAAAACTCCTTTATTCTTTGAGTTTCTTTTTTTGTAATTTTACAATAGACTTTCTTTTATTACTTACTAATTTTATGATTAAATAATATGTGTATACTTAACTATGATTAAATTAATTATGTTACAATTATTTATTAATTTATTATAATAATTATTTATTAAATATATTATAATAATTTATTAAATATTTACATTCTGTTTATTATCTCTCGTTTACATTAAGTAATTAGTATTTAATATAAGCTGGAAATTGATCTAAAATGTAAATATGCTGTAGCTGAATATCCTTAAAAACATTAGATTGTATATACTAAGGCTAGAAGCCGATTACTAGAATATAATAAATGTAGCATTAACGGTCTCAGAGACAGATACTATGTTAAATTATATTTAAGATGTACATACGAACCATAACGGTTACAAAGATACACGCAGCAGACCAAAGAACCTTTTAATTTGCGAGGGTTGAACGAACGAAAGTATGTCTCTTATGAAACCACTCAAAAGGTCCGGACTAGTGCGCGCCCTTATCTTCTACCCTAGAGTATGTAACAAATTTTGCCGACTTCAAAAAAAGAGAACATTTTCACTATCGACAATATATTTTTGTTGACTTTTTTTAACAATGTACTTGTTATATACTCCCATTTAAATTTGAAAAGAATCTGATCAGTACTTTTTGAGTTATCCTTAATAATGTCGTTTTTTCCGCAATCTGAGCACGGCCACATCTATAATTATATCAACAGGCTGCAATATACAATACCTAGCTTAAGACCAAACTGCGAAAAAAGATAGGGATGCAAGCGAATCTGGACCAAATTTTATGTGTTTGATACATTCTAGAAATTTATATTTATGCGAAATTATATCCTAAATTTTTATTATTATATAATATGGAGAAGATTTTCGACGTACATAATAACTAGTGACATCATTCTAGTTGCAACGGAAAATTGAATGGTAGTGACTTATATTATTCCGTTGTCATTTTCCTGTTAATTGATAAAAGAATTTTCCATCAATATTGTATCTATGTCAACTTCGTACCTGTTTCCATTAACTTTTCTGTACGAACATCATACGAATATAGTTTCATATATCAATAACAATGCATATTCGGTCACCAACGCCTATGGTCCTGAGTTTAAATCTTGTCCAGGACGAAACATCACTGTTTCAAAGCACTTTTAAAAAAAACTATATAAAAACATGCTGACTCTCATTAATAACAGAAAAAAACACTTTCCTAACTTTACGAAATGTAAATAACACTTTTTGTAAAAATAAAATTTATTTTCAATTTACACAAAAATATGCTTTATATAATTAAAAACAAGATTTGTTGTTTGTTCAAATGAACCTCGCTTATATGCTTTTGTGTCCTGTGATAGTCTATGTTTTTTTACGTACCCAATTCGTTGAGTACTTATTTAATAATCCTTAATGATAATTTTGTAGAGGTTTCGCATGAAAACGAAAGGTTACGACGGACGAATTGAAGAGATCGGCTTAGGATGTATCGTACTATTCAACCTTGTTTGTTATTTTCATAAATTAAAATCCTAAATATTAAAAAAGTAGTTTATAATCTTTCGTTAAAAAGTATAATAAGAGCTGTACTTTTTGTAAAGCATATCTTTCATCCCTCGTTTTTACTAGTTATGTAAACTTATAATAGATATATTACATTACAATGTATATTAGATTTAAGGGCGCATTCAAAGAAGTAAAATAGAAATTAGATGTAAATAATCAAAATTTAATTATAGTCCACATATTAGAATTATCATTGTAGAGTTAAATGTATATATTATTATGTTTATTTGGTGGGGATCATGTCCTGTATGTATAGTTAACGTATAGGCTCCAACGTGGATTGTAATTCAAACAGCCAGCTCGAGTATAAAGTAAAATGGTCATAATATCTGTACATTTGTAGCTGGTTAAAAATCGCTCCAAGGTGAATGTTCAGGATAAGATGGAAAGACATATATGAAAATTTTTTAAAAACATTTTATGTTTACTTAAATTCACTGAAACCATATCAAAGAAGTAGAATGAAATTTCAAATAGTTAGTTGTATATAAGTAGATATTAAAGGGTGTGATGGACCAAAGATAAGATGAATGGATGGTATAAAAAAGATATGCATGAATGAGTGGACAGATTTAAGAAAATATAATGTAGCTTATTCTATACTTATGTGAAAATTATGTACATACAAAAAAAGGACAACTTTACATGGTTTATGAATGAACATAACGTTCGTGTATAAAGAAAGAAGTTAGATATGAATAGTATTGTATAAAATATGAGCAACAAATCTCAAAAACTAGTAGCCATATATAATCATCGATCGATAATATTAAGTAACTAAGCAGTTGTTAATAGTATTGTATGGACAACAAGTTAAAATATCAAATACAAATAGATATCAATCGGTAAAATATTACCGATTGATACATAATAATGTACAATGTTATTAAGAATCCAAGCTTTCAATTTCTCTATATTTTGCAATCAATTGTTTACATGCTTAATTATTATAGAATAAGCTAGTATTAACAAATGTACATTCAGGCAATACGAGTTCGTGAGCATAAATATGGAGGTAATATTTGCGTAAATAGATATAATATAGATAATTAGTAGATATTAATTGAAATTGCTTTCGTGAGCAATATGTTGAACTGTATATATAACACACACACACGTACGTACTAAAAATCGGCATTAATGAGTAGCTGTAAATATTTCTAGTTACCTTATAGTATATAACTCTAGAAATAAGTTATTGGCTACACTGATTGGAATTTGATAACCTTAAAAATACTAAATTCAAAAATATATAGTCTTAGTAACATTATAAGTGAAGCAAAAGTTCAAGTACTTAAAAATAGAAAATAAAATTTAAAAAAAGGTCATGGACCTTCTAAGGAAAATAAGAGCGTAACTTATAAAAAAAAAATAAGAAGGCATCTTGTATATTACATTACTCGTGACTGTTCATTGGCTGCAGTACATAATTTCTTATCATTTTAATTTATATTATTTGCTTAAATAAGACTATTACTTATTGTATAAGCTTTGCAATAAAACAATCTGACTGACGCAGTAAGAACGGAAGCTAAAAACCCAAATAATAAAATAGAAAAGTGGAATAAAATTAGGGAATTTAAAATTGTGTACCTAAATGAGAAATGTAGAGATAGAGATACAAATGATGTTGCAATAGATATTGTGTCTTTCACTTGCTTCAGTTTAAATAAATACGTACATAATCAGTGTATAAATCCTGTGTTTCTTTTTGTACCCTTCTCCCATTACTCACTGACAGTAGGTATACGTAATAGACCTTAATTTAATAGATATTAGGTACTTACCTGCGAGCTCGTTTTGTAAACTGTATAATACGACCCATATTTCTCGCTGATATATTGATGAATAATTTTAAAAATCGATTATTGTTTTATCTTCATCATTACAAACAGAAAACTAATTCTTACCTCTAATATAAATTAATATATAATCAAAGACTATAAATTTTATGCTGAAACGAAAATAAATGGCATCCCAGATGTATTTAAGAAAACTTCTTAAGGTGACGCTTCAAATATAATTGTTAGGGTTTAGTAGCAAGATAAAAACAGTCTTGAATTCTCGAAAGCTCCAGATCAAGTTTTCTCCATTCTCAACTTAATAACATCAATCGATTTATAGACCATAGCTTACACACGCAACTTCGTCTGAATCACACTTACTTGACATTTATTTTTATATTTCGTCCAATTTTCATACTATAATTTTAAATTATAGTCTCTCATATAAGCTATTTTACTGTAAAGTGTCATCAAAATCCGTTTAGTAGTTTTTGCGAGAAAGAGTTACAAACATCCATCCCTCCTACTACTTTACAAACTTTCGCGTTTATAATATTAGTAAGATATAATATTGTGTATAATACTGTTATGATCGGAGCGTGAGATTAGGTCGTGAAATGTCCTCTACAGTAGCAACGAATCTTATGACAATGTGCTGTTCATTTAAGTACCAATATAGGCGACCTTACTGCTCACCATCACACGAGCCGAAAGTATTCCACTTCAAGTACATAAAAAATATAAATTATTATGTGCATTAACATTTGCACATAATATTCTGAAACTAATATAAAAAATTTACTAATATAAAAAAATAAAAAAAACTTTACATTTTAAAAAAATATTATTTATTTTATACATATATTATATCGGTATAATAGTATGATGGTCAACTGATTACAAATTTTGAATATATATGTTTGGTTTGGTTTGTAGTAAACTACAAAAAATCACAATGGTCTCACAATAAAACGACATACTCATACATTATACTGTAATATGATTACCAACAGTAACAAAACGACTCTATACAAAATGTCAATAATAATTGTCTTTACTACACATTTTTGTTTGTAGATAAAGCCTGTCTTTAATATTAGATGAGATGGCAGAAAAGATGATGTAACGATGATCAATATTGTTAATGAATATGAAACATTTAAATCCAGTTAGCACATTTTTAGACATTTACGCACTTCAAATTTCTATATTTAAATTTCTGTATTACCCATTTTATAAAGTTTAAAATTTATGTTACCGATAACGTATAATTAAAGTATTGTATACAATAACCAGGCGATGTAAGTATATACCTTACTTGTATAGAACTTAATCTAAGCCAGTAGTCATAACATATATTGCCCAGGTAGTGTACAGAATATCTTAATTTTACACATATTCCAAACACGTAGGTACATTTCACATGGCTTACTTTTCCATAAAAAATTTGTATTCGTGAAATAGCACAGCTAAAGACAAATCTATTCCATTCGAAATATATTTTGGTAACAATATTAAGATTAAGTTATTATGTATTATTTTATCAAGTTTTCTATAAACGTCGCTCTGGGAACAATTCGAGTAATACATATTCGTAAAGTTCTAATTGGAATTAAATTAAGTACATTTTCTTATTAATTCTAATACTATATTGGAATATATCAAATTCTATATAACTAACACAACATTGGCAAGATTCATAAGTCCCACTAACAGAAGTATACATCCCTATCATAATAATTATACCATAATTTATATTATTCTACACGGTCGTGTTAAGTATCAAAACATTGGCTAAAAGAATAGCTATGCATTCTTAAAGTATAAATGCTGCATTTAATTTGCATCGGAATAAAATAATATTATCAAACAATCACATCAAGCTATGTAAAGTTAATTGAATGGCCACTAAAATAATTTTACGGAGGCTAGTTTCGTAAGTGTGCACCTCACTTAAGTCTAAATTGCAATATTGTATTAATGCATATCGTACATATTACGTTATATAAATAAATTACGATAGCATTTTACTTACATTGCTACATATCTAAAGTACTTGCATTACATATAGTACGAGTGTATGTATCTACCTTAGATCATATAAATGGATATATTATGTAAACAAATGCATGTCTTGAGTGCAAGCAGAGATCATAATAATATTTCAGTGGTACCATTAAATCCTACGTACGTACATGTACCTTTATTAGTTTGCAGTATCTACTCGTCTACGCATATTTTGTTCACAAAACAACACGACTAATTGCGAATAACGTTACATTATGTACTCATAAGCGTATTTCGTTTAACTACAATACTACTAATATATACAATTACAAAATTATAAATAATAAATCAATTTACATTATTTCAACACTTAGACCTGGATCGTGTGGCTCGTCATATTATGAAGAGAGATTTTTCTGCGACTATAACTAATATCACACATTCTGTAATAACATTAGAGAATCGATATTTCTAATCACAGGAGTATCATTCAGCCTAACATGGCCAGATTCACCGCAGTTCTTAAAACTCATTACTGAGTGCCACTATTGTTTAAAATAATTAGTTTCGCTACGAACAATTAAAGCTTTGCTTGACGACTTGCAGTCGAAGCCGCTCCATCAAAGTAATTCTACACATATAATAAATGTGTGCATCACATTACGTCATCTTATTGACGTATGAGAGCACGCGATCTGAATCTGTTTAATCAGTTTGTACACAGTCCGCACTATGAAACAAGCTACTTACCAAAACGTTTGGTAACACTCGGGAATTCCGAACCCGAGAAGTTTTCTTAGTTTCTTTGTTCCTCTATCACCCTTCAGATGCTTCGAAGAAGCATGCGCACCTCGATCGCAAACCTTGACGGTTGTACCGTCTCGTGTGTTTAAGATCCTTCGCCAAATTAATATCAATTAACGCCCACCGGTAAACACTTGCACTGTTTAATCTTTTGTAAACGTTTGAGCCTAAATGGCGGATTTTGTCCAGGACAACGAAGCTTCACTGTCACCCATATCATTTTCCTGGGTTTACAAAAGGAACATGACTTGAAGGCCGGCGGAGGACGCTCCTCGTTCCCGTCACGTCGTCGAGGACCTTTCGGTATGTAAAACGAATTGCACTGACCGTAACAGAATTTATTAATCACAGTGGTTGGCAGACAACCTGGCTCCCTGATTTTCTGAACTAAAGGCTCCGTTTTGCACCAATCCTCCTTCAGATATTCTTTCTTGGTAACCACAAGAGCGTTTTTCGAGGACTTGAGTAGTTTTCGGAATTCCACTCCGGCTGGTATTTCAGTACTTTCATCTTGATCGGGAGCGGAGACGATCATTGTTTCGGAACTACCATCGCCCAGCTCGTTTCTTTGAACGTATGATGAAGAAGCCGTTGCTTGTTCAGCACGTCGTCGTTCGGTTAGTATTTTCTCTACATGCTCAGTATTAATGATGTCCAAAATGGAATCGGTCGGCGTAAACGGTCTCCTATTGCCAACACCAGCACCGGCGCAGACTCCACAGGCAGCCAAAAAAGCCGCAGCCGCAAACCAAAAATGAGATTTGATCACGGTCTCCATCTGTAACAAAAATAATTATTATGTTACATAAACATAATTGCCGTGACACGATGAAGTTGCAAATAAGGCTTCTCGTCTATTTTAAAATCTGTGGGTTTGCGTCGAGCGGAAGTCGTAGGTTAAACTCACGGTGTATCGAAAGATGGGAGCCAGCATATCGTAGGCAGTGCGTCGGTGTTATTGGTCCGCGAGCGCGCTGTGTGCGTGTGCGCAGGACCGGCCGGCGGAGCAGTAATGAGCGCAAGAGCAAAAGCGCCTCAATGGACCACCGCTCAATGAAAGATGACTCACGCACCGCGCCTCCGTCATAGAACCCGTTACCAGCACACAGAAATGACACTTCTAACATGTGTCTCAGCTAAGCGTCCGATCCGACAAAAGGTTTCTTAATCGCTTTACCAGAGAATTAGTTTGTGACCAAATACACCATCTGTTTGCAAACAATGGTATGACTTCAACTTTCCTAGATAAGGGTGACTATTATTGTCTACTTAGCACCCGGAGTTCTATTGTTATTTAACTGTAATATACATCCTGATAGATTTAGTGAAATGAGTGTCCTTTGTGCATAATTGACCGATAAACAATGACAGCTGCCAGATACAAAATGTTTGATGCCTGCTACTTATAAAGTTGATATCCATAGTCTCTCAGATGTCACATAATTACCGGCATAATATGATCCCTCCGTGTTTAGAAACTGGAGAGATTCTCTCACCTATCAGGGCGCTAAGATCCGACGCCTGTGACCAAAAGCACGTCGCGAGGCGCCGGCGCACAACGCGCACCAGTTCTCAAATGTTCACGTTTCCGCCCATTTGTGCTTCCCACAATGCCCATAGAACTTGTATAGAGCATCCGGAGCCTTCTGCGAAATGTAGGCGATGTGTGGGTGCGCGCTGTATTTTCAATTGCGTTTTTAACAAAGTATCGTTAAAAGCGTTCATCTGGTAAATTGTCTGAGACGCCGACGCAGCACGCCCCTGAGGTGCATCAAGGGTTGTCAAACAGAACATTTTTATTAAGATATTAATTATTTTAAAAACTATTCATGAATTTGGCAACCGGTTAAGAACCGGTTGTCTAGAAGAATTGTGTATTTATTTTTATTCTAATTTAATTCTTAAGCTGACATTACCCTTATCCTGATATTTCTATACCATTAAAATACTATTAAATGTTTCATCTACTATATAGTGGCAGTAATACAATAAACATACATACAATATACTTGTAATATTTTACAACGAAGAAGTGTTATTAATTTGTAAAAAAAATTGCGTAAGAATTTTTTCTGCACACGTTAAGACTTACTCAAATTACAATTTAATAATGTTGTTAGTCTTATAATCCTTTCTGTTTATGAAAGGAATCATATCTGTGACTTTACTACTAACGCTAGGCCTTAATAGTTACTTAAATGATATTTGGTCAACAAAAGGTGTATAATGAACATTATCTGAAAAACTATAGAAAATTACAGAGATATTAACATCTTAGTTCTCTGTATGATCACGTATAGGCAATGATTGCCATTTACCATCAGCCAAGTTATTTAATTTAAGTCATTCAGTCATCAGTTACATAATAAAAAAAATCTAATTTAGCTCAAGTCTTGATATTCTCGTAGTACATTTTCTGTGTTATCATAACACAAGGAATAGGTATGTCATGAGCCTAATGAGGATCGCACTTTTTGTTAGAAAATAAATAATGATGATATAAAATAGTAGTAATAAATCGATAAATAATATGCCTGCCCTAACAGTATACCTACGCTAACATGCATTCATTGCTAAATGATGGATGATGAAGCTAAAGATTAAATTTAGGTCAAGTGTTATATTGTAAGGAATTCACTAGGAATTTGCGACGGGACAATTAAATTTATTAACGATTTTAGGTGTAACGTAAATGTAAATTGTATAGGCCTATACTATACAACAAAAAAATGTACTATATGTATAAAACTAACACGAGAAATATTTTCACAATAAAAATTTGCAATGTTAACCCTAACCCTTTATGAAATAGCTTATCGAGCAGGGTGGTAAAATATGAAAACATGCATATTATATTTTTAATGTTATAATATAATCATTAGTATTCAATTATAAAAATATAATGTTTAGTTCAATCAAAATATCCTTAATGCACTTATAGATATCTATAACGTCTATCTATAAGTTATAGAACTTATATACTTATTCATTCACTTATTATTAATATAGATTATATTATACTAGCTACTCGCCCCGGCTTCGCCCGGATGTACTCATATATTATACATATGAACCTTCCTCTTGAATCACTCTATTTAAAAAAAAAATTCAAAATCCATTGCGTAATTTTAAAGATTAAGCATACATAGGGACGGGCAGACAGCGACAGCGACAACGACTTTGTTTCATACTATGTAATAATGATATATATGTATATTTTTCATTATTCAGGTTTCATAATGTAATAAATTAGGTTAAAAACATTATTTAATACATTAATAGAAATAATATTAACAAAGGACTTACTTATCTAAGAGAATATGTATATGAGAATACGTTATAGTGACAACCCAAGTTATATAGATGCACTGTTAAATGACTTAACGTCTATTACATTGGATGTAAAGTCGAATATATTTTTTTAATTTTCTGTGGTATCCGTATCCCTTTTAGGAATATCAGTGGATCATAGTCCACACTCATTAGTTCTTTATGTTATTCCTTCTCTTTGTTTAAGCAGATATGTACAACTGTACAATACAATATATTATATATAATATTATAATTATATATATAGGGCAACGGTCACCATTTACAACTTGACCGTCGGCTTATTAGCTATTTCAATTACATACAAGAAATACCTACTTTATTATTTAAGTAGCTACTCGCCCCGGCTTGGCCCGGGTGTACATGTATTATATATATAAACCTTCCTCTAGAATCACTCTATCTATTTAAAAAAACGCTTCAAAAACCGTTGCGTATTTTTAAAGGTTTATTAAGCATACATAGGGACAGACAGCGACAGCGACTTTGTTTTATACTATGTATGTAATGATGATGTCAATAATAATAATGAAATTGGAGATGACAACATATTTTATTTATGGATGAAAATGGAATCATTTATGCTATGGATGGATTAATTTACGCTAATGTATACGCTGGGGGCTCCTGGGCAGGATTATAGTGTTAGCATGTAGTAAGGTTAGTTGCCCCATCATGACCCAAATTCACCAGGCTTTAACCAGACCGTTTTTGGAGGGACCACGTCAAGATCGATCTGAGATAGTATATTCTTAATAATGGAGCCTACAGCTGGCAGCTTTTCCCCCGTTCTTAAAATGTTGTATTATATTGACACATCTTTTATTTAGACTTGTTTGCGAGACCTCTTGGGTATAGGGCCATTTAGGACTCCGAGTACTGTTAACCAATCTCAGCTAAAATTTGAGAATATCTTATTAATGTTATAAACGTAAAAGTTTGTGAGTATGGATATAGATGTTTGTTACTCTGTTACGCAAAAACTACTGAACTTAGTTTGATGAAACTTTACAGTAATACAGCTTATACATCATAATAACATATAGGCTATAAATTTCACGCAGGTGAAACCGCAGGCACAGCTCATACTGTATTAAAATAACCTACAGTTATTATTCAATATTAATTTAATGTAAATAATTGCAGCATCGTGAACATAATATGTAAATCGGAATACGTCTAATTTGTGTTATTAAATGACGTAATGATAGAATTGTATAGGTTTCTGTGACTCGCCTCAGTTGAAATCAGCATCAAACATATTCATAAACGACAAACTTCTAAAGAATCATTTTAAATAATTTTTCAAGTAATTTATGTCAATTTCTTGCAAAATATGAAAATAACTTTCACCTTTCTAGGTGAAACATTTCGTAAACACAAGTTAATTTATTGCATGATTTTTTTATTAATAAATACTATTTCTACCGTTCAGAACCGTATGATCGCGCATCCACAGACAATCTATATTATTGCAGAGAAGTGCAACATATTAAATAAAATATTTATACGGGACCAGCGAGCGTCCTATATGAATTACACAGATTTTTACACCTTGTAACTTAATAGTTGTGTTAGAAATGAAACGTTGATAATGTAAAAAATATTGTATTGTATTTTTTAGATTTATTTTAGTTTTTAGTAATAATATATATAAATAACCAAACCTTTAGTTTTTATGATTAAATAAAGATGAATAAAAGATATACATTTTTTATTCAAGTTAAGCCAGTGTGTAACACACGAAATACCTATCTTTACGACCATTACAATTTAAAACTTTTAAAATAAAATACATATAATAAATTATATGCAAATGATTAAGACTATATTTCACCGAACACCAAAATAGGAGTCGCAAGGCGAGAATTTACGGCCAAAGGAAGTTCTTATAAATGAATAGTTTTTTTTACGATAGAGGCGCTTAGAGGCTCAGGAATTTCATTCATACTCGTAGAATGCTCATTCAATATGATCGTTTTGTTAACGTGAAAACGACAAAAAAAAGGCCGTAATATGCGTTAAAGCGACCCTTAGCGACAGAACGTCTGCATCGCCCACGTGTCTACAGAGTGTTCCAAATTGCACCGACAGGTCATTGACTTTGTTATGTAACTTTTGTAACCTTATAGCCTATAAATATAACCTGACGGTGTGACAGGTAGCGATGATTTGTATGACGTGTAATATGAAGGTTATTTTTAACATTTTTTGATTTCATATAAAATATACAGGTAAGTTTATACACGAAATACAACGCGGTATGATGTTATGAATATCAATTTTGTGTAACCGTTTCCAATTATAATATCTGTCTAATCTTAAATACCTGTGTAGCTAGTTCATGTAATTCTATCCTATTATTACATATTTCAAAACTAGATTTTGAATACATATACAACATGCATTTTGTAATCAATGCTGCATTGATGAGTTTTTGTTACTGTTCTCATTTTGTATTACAGTTACAAACAATAGTGTTTATTATCAGTTGTCATAAATAAGCGAGCCTTATCCGTTAACTAAAGAAATCAATTTATAATAATTACCTACTTTATATTTTCATATAGAACATATTAAATATATAAAGTAATTATTATAAAAGGCTTTCAAAAATGTAATGGAAATATTTTTAAGAAATAGGCCAATATATTTATTGTAATGTCTTTA